CGGGACGACGGCGCCACGGGCGGGGCCCGCGAGACGGTCGGCGCCGGGGGCGGGGCCTGCGAGACGGACAGCCGCAGGGCCCGCCTACTCAGGCGGGGCTCCGGCCGGGATCACCCGGGTCAGGCCCTTGCAGGACTGGCTGGGGCGCTGGCTTTCTGTGCTACGTTCCTCTCGGTTTTTAAAGCACTTAATGCATGAGAAAGTGCAGAAAAATGAGTGTGCACGCGCGCTTTTTTATGAATAAATCTACTGACGTAGCCGGGATATGTTCAGACCTGCGCTTAAATATCCTTCGAGCTCCAAACTTGGCAGGCTTTAAAAGGGGTGTCTGGCCAGAATAAAAACCAGAAACACATCAGCTAGGTCGACAGACCAAAGCTTTCTTTATTTGCACGGGCAATTTCAGCTTTCTCAGGATAATCTAAAATCATGGATAGTTAACTCATTAAAAAAAAAGTTATGTCACTGACCTGCGTCTCCAGCTTTGACTCCTGATTTGTGCTGGAGTCCTGTGATAGTCTTCTGTTGCATTGGGTGAAAACACCTCCAAAACCGTGGCACGAGACCAAATTTTTACCTTTGCTGGACGTTCAGCCTCTAAGTGAGTTGCCAGTAATTACCATCTCCAAATAGTTCTGCGATTTAGTAACAAAGATACCCATCTTTTGCTGACACCATTCTATCTTTTTGATGTTTTATAAATATCCAAGGAACTTCACTTACACTTGAGTTTGACAGGCTAAACTGTCATTTTAAATTATGCATGGAGGGACTGGGACCCACACCCACTGGCATACATCAAAACTGTCACTATGTATTACACCCTTTGAAAATGCAGGCTTTCAAACGGCAGCGATGTGTGCTGTCACTTTTTTTCTTCAGAAAGATTCCTCGGATACAGCAAGAGTATCGGAAGACCTAATCTGCCCTAACACGGGTTAAGATGAAAACGAACCCTGAGAGCTAATTCCTTTGAGGATGATTTTAATCCAGCAGCCTGCCACCTCTTTGGGCTTCCTGTGATAGTTGTCAATCAGTCTCGCACTACAAGTTATAGAGGTGTTGGTGCCACATGACCTTCTGAAAACACAGCTCTGATGACATCACACTATTGCTCCAACCCTGGTCACAGGGGCGGAACTCTTCTATGTGGCATACCTGCTCCCTTCTCTTTCACTCCCCTCTGTCAAGCAAACCAGACTGAAGCATGGATGTTAAGCATAGTTTGTATCATTTGGTCAATGTGGAGAACAGGGTTGATGCCCACCCCGTGCTTTGCGTCCACTGTTCTTGTCGCCTAGATTTGCTGTCCATGCATCTTTGCCTGTTGAGACCTTGCCTGTCCTTCCAAAGCCACCAGGACCCCCTCCTCTGTGCTGCCGTAGCACGGGGCAAACTGCCTGGCAAGAGGTCTGTGTGTGCAAGCCACATATTACAGTATGAACTACTTGAAGGCAGATAACATTCCTTTGCCTCCCAATCCCCCCCCACATCTCAGCCAGTGTTCTGCACACAGCAGGCACTGCCTCCAATAAGACTTTGCTGAATTTAATTTTAGTTGAGAGAGGCTAGGGCGTTACCCTAGTTAGCAGCTTAGCCAAGATTCCTTTTTCCAAATAAAACTTTTCTAGGATGGAATTTATAAAACCAATAAAAGGGAAGAAATCTGTTCAGAGTGGGCACAGAGGATCTTAAACCCGTTCTCTGCTCACCCTGCATCCTACCCTCCCTTCTTCTGGGTCCTGCCTTTTCTTGCAGTTTGCAAACGAATTCTACATTCCACGTCACGCTCCATAGTTTTCTTAATGACCCATTCTAATTAGGTGGGATGGTTTGGCATTTAATCATGACAAACTCTGATGGATGATGATGATGATGATGACAACTAATATGTATTAGGTACTGACGAGTCGGGCATTGTTCTGGGCACTTGACATGAAATTAACTCCTGTTGCCTCACAGACCCTATTAGGTAGATACTAGTGATATCTCCAGCACACAGATAAGGAGATGGAAGCACAGAGAGCTAAGTAGCTTTCCTGAGACCCTACATGTGGTGTTAGAAATCAAATTCCGTGGCTATATCGAGGCCAATAATAAAACGATGGGGACTCCGATAAGGATAAATGAACAAGAATAAAAGATCATCGTGCAGTCTAAAGAAGGAAGCTGACACAGTGGTTTCTTTCGAGAAGATGGAGGGGCTGCCTGACTGCAAGGTGAATGTGAGCAGAGCAGAGCGGAGCATGGGACGGAAGGCTGCCCTCATGCCCGGCAGCCCTCCTGTCTTTGGCCATTCCCCAGCCCTGGCCTTTCCTTCTCCTACTGACACTCTCAGCCATTGCCACAGCGTTCACAGACTCGACAGCTCACAGCGCTCACTTTCACGTTTCCAGAGTAAGTTCTGCTTCTGAGCTCCACACCAGCTGTCTCCTTGGCACTGGGCAATTTGTGGTGCGAGATTGTTTGGCAACTCCTCCAAGTGACTGAACTCAGTCTTTTCCCTCAAATCTGCTCATCTCCACTTACTAATGGCACCTCCACCCACCTCATTGTTCAAGTCATTTTTTTTTTAACTTTAAATTTTTTTAGAAACAGGGTCTTGCTCTGTTGCTCAGGCTGAAGTGCAGTGGCTCAGTCATAGATCACGGTGGCCTTAAACTCCTGGGCTACGGGATCCTCTTGCCTCAATCTGCTGAGTAGCTTGGACTACAGGCACACACCACCATGCCCAGATAATTTTTTATTTCTTTTAGAGAAAGGATCTTGCTATGTTGCCCAGGCTGGTCTTGAACTCCTGGCATCAAGCAATCCTCCAAGCACCAAGGACTCCCAAAGTGTGGGATTACAGGTGTGAGCCACTGCACCAAGCCTCAAGTCAGATTCTTTTTTTTTTTTTTAGTTGGAGTCTCACTCTGTTGCCCAGACTGGAGTGCAGTGGTCGTTCCTGGCCACCGCAGCCTCGACCCACTGGGCTCCAGTGATCCTTCCGCCTCAGCCTTCCAAGTAGCTGGAACTACAGGCGCGCGCTACCACGCCTGGCTAATTTTTTGATTTATTGTAGAGATGAGGTCTCGCCAAGTTGTCCAGGCGGGTTTCGAACCCACGGGTTCAGGCAGTCCACTCACCTCAGCCTCCCAAAGGTGCAGGATTACAGGCTGAGCCACCGAGCCCGGCTTCAAGTCAGATTCTTAAGAATTATTCTTGACTACCCTCATATTTACGTCTACACCTAGCCTGGCTCTTATGTATTTAGCCATTCTTTATATTCCATGGAGGAATACCTTTCAGGTTGTTTCAGATTGGTATGCTTTCTTTTTGTGTATCTAGCAAAAGGGAGATTATTTTGGCAATTATTATCAAAGAAAATTTTGGTCCTGGGACAGTTCTGATTATACCTAAGAACCTTCTGGACCTAATACAGGTGTAAAAAAAGAATACACAGTTTATAATCACTGAGATAGTCTCAACTTCTGAAATGACATTGTGATCTTACAATACCCATAGCCAAGTAAATCATTTTTTCTTAGTGAAAAGAATGAAAAGTGCAGACATTAGTGTGCATTATTAGCGTGCAGACATTTCTAGAAAGCTATGAGTTAAACCAGTTTATTATTATTATTTTTCACGAGACAGGGAAGAAAAATGTGATTTGGCACATCTGGCTGGTTTATTTTTTTTCTTCCTTCCTTTAAACAACACATGTGGTGGGAACTGAGATAGTTAAGCAGGAACTCTGGTTTGATTTCACTGAAAAATTACTTGCTAAATTTAAAGATATTTTAAAAACTTATAAAAATAACTTCATTGTGTGTGTTATGTTAAAATATTTCTGGATTCTCACAGGTATGTTTCTAGTGTTTGCTTTTTTAAAATTTTATTTATTTATTTATTTATTTTTTAGTTGGAGTCTCACGGCCACCCCAGCATTGACCTGCTGGGTTCCAGCGATCCTTCGACTTCAGCCTTCCAAGCAGCCAGAGTCACAGGCGCGCGCTACCATGCCTGGCTAATTTTTGATTTATCGTAGAGATGAGGTCTTGCTGAGTTGCCCAGGCTGGCCTCAAACCCGTGGGCTCAGGGAATCCATTCGCCTTGGCCTCCCCAAGTGCTGGGATGACAGGCTGAGTCACTGAGCCTGGCCTTGCTTTTTCTTTTTTTAGAGGAGCTCTCACTCTGTCACCCAGGCTGGAGTGCAGTGGCATGATCATGGCTTCTTGCAGCCTCAACGGAGTCTCCCTGTGTTGCCCAAGGCCGATCTTGAACTTCTGGCCTCAAGTGATCCTCCCACCTGGGTTGGCCTCCCAAAGTGCTAGGATGACCAGCGCGAGCCAATGCATCTGGCCTATTTCTAGCAGTTTCGAAGTGTTATATCTGAAACTCTTTCAGAGCTCTGCCTCACTAACCACAGTTTTCACTTATGCATATATTTGTGCTTATCTGCTCAGGAGCAGTCTTTCCTGCTGGATCTGTCATGATGATGTTCTGGTTCACCACCTCTACCTGGTACTATTCAACTTCTGGAACACAACAGATGCCCCATAAATTTCTGTTGAATGTTTTAATATATGAATGCAGCCAAAGGAAATGGCACTGGATACATATCCGCTTGGTGACTACTTCCAGGAATACATTACATATATGCATGTAGATACATGTATATAATATTAATATATTATATACTATGCATACGTACATATGTACATAATTTTTTCCTCAACATCACATTTTTATGTAGAAACACAGCTATAATTAAAAAATCTGAGATTCCTCAAACCTTGCAAAATCACCAAGTTGCTGTCTCTCAAAATGTGTTAACACGCCGGGCTCGGTAGCTCAGCCTGACTCCAACTCAAAAAAAATTAAAATAAAAAAATAAACCTTGACGTGTTAACACTTTGAGTTGGAGTCTCACTCCGTCGCCCAGACTGGAGTGCAGTGGCCGCTCCCGGCCACCGCAGCCTCGACCTGCC